CAAGAATGGCATAATTCATATAAACAAAATGAGAGCAATAACTCCCAAGTGGTTGATCTTCTAATGTTATTTTATTTCCTAGAGCTGCTTCCTTCTAGTACAAAACCTCCAACTTTAAGTCATTCAGGTTTAGTAGCTTCTTCCTTGTATTTCTCAAAAATCTTGTAAATTCCTGGAGAAAATGCCAGCAATAACTCCCAAGTATTTGATCCAATCTACATTGTTATTTTATTTTCCAGTGTCGACTTCTCCCGCTACAAAATCTCCAACTTCTATTGTTTCAGGTTTAGTAACTACCTGCTTATATTTTTTCAAAAATCCTTTAAATTCTAGGTGATTTTTTAAAAAATCTTTCAAATTCCTGGTGATGTCCACTCATTCATCATTTTTAGTGACGAAAGAAGGGGGACATTTGTATAGTCATTTTAGTTGTTATACATAGTGATTCTAAAATTATTTGCCATAGTCCACAGATATAAATGGGACTGTGACCTTCAGAAAGTTATTCAAATTTTAAATGTGTTTATACGTATATAAACTGATTTAGTACCTTCCTTATTGGTTATTAGTAAGGTTTACCTGGGATAAACTTAATGCATTTAGCACAGTGCCCAGTAAATAGTAAGCTCTTAGAGCTAGCTAATATGGCTTATTCAACATTTAATGTTAGGAAAGAGGAAGGTCCATGTGTGTTTGCTAATATGTTTGTTTGCTAATACGCATGTTTGTTTGTTAGTATGTATGTTTTGTGTCATCAATTTCACTATTTTATTCCTTTCAGAAGTGATCTGTTGACACCTTTACTGGGAATGTTTCTATTGCAGGGCTCTTTCATTTTCTAGAATGCAACCAGTTTGAGTATTCTTTTATGGTTCTGAAGGCCAACACCTAAAATAGATCCATAGGGCTGTGTTCCTTCTGGAGGCTCCAGGGGAGCAGGGGTTTTCTTTCTCTTTCCAGCTTCCAGGGGCTGCCTCCATCCTTTGGCTCATGGCCTCCTTCCTCTACCTTCCAGGCCAACAGCGTAGCATTTTCAAATATCCTTCTTCTGTCTGATTTAACCCTCTTGTCCCCCTTTTATAAGGACCCTTGTGATTATATTTAAGGCACACCTAGATAACCCAGGATAATCTGCCCATATCAAGATTCTTAATCACATCTGCAAAGCCCTTTTACCATTACAGGCAACATTCACAGGCTTCAGGGATCAGAGCATGGATATCTTTGAGAGGTCATTACCCAGCCTACCACACCTTTCCACATAGATTCTCAAAGTTTTAGCTGAGCCTAGTGAGGGAGTTCATTCCCATTAGGGTCCAGTTGAGTAGCAAGTGCTTCCTTTAAGAGAAAAGGTGAAAGTTGTCCACTTAATAAAGAAAGAAAAAAATTGTATGTTGAAGTTGCTAAGATCTAAGGTAGGAAGGAATCTTCTGTCAATGAAATTGTGAAGAAGGAAAAAGAAATCTGTGCTAGTTTTGCTGTCACACTTCAAACTGCAAAAGTTACAACCACAGTGCATGCTAAGTGCTTAGTCAAGAGGGGAAAGGCTTTAAATTCGTGGGTGGAAGATGTGAACAGAAATGTGTTCTAATTGATAGTGATCAGGTTTGGTGCTCTCTGAGATTTCAGGTATCCATGATGTCTTGGAACATGGCCCCCACAGATGAGGGGTGACTACTGAACATTTAAAATAAGCATTTATATATTGGTGATTGAATCGCCCATTTTATTATTGGTTTTTTATTTGTCCCACAAATAAAGCAAAGTAAAGTTTTAGGCAAGATCCATTTCTAGAGATAGAGATATTTTATTACGATAAAGAAGATTGTTCTACCATAAAATATAGCAATTTAAATTTTTATAATCCTAATAATATAATCCTTTTGTTTTACATAATCCTTAAAATATGTAAAATAAAAGATGGACAACATTATAAAAAGTAATATACAAATGTACAATAAATAAAATACTTTAACACAACTCATTTAGTATCTGATAAAACAAGTAATCCTCCAAAAATCAGTAAGTACTTTGAAGATCTGAATAAATATTAACAGATTGGATTCACTGACTGCATGGTTTGGTTCTGTGTTCCCACCTAAATCTCATGTTGAATTATAATCTTCTGTGTTGGAAGCAGGGCCTGGAAGGAGGGGACTGGATCATGGTGGTGCTTTCTAACGGTTTAGCACCACACACATTGTACTGTCTGGTGACAGAGTTCTCACAAGAACTGGTTGTTTAAAAGTATATAGCACTGGTGGGGCATGGTGGCTCATGCCTGTAATCCCAGCGCTTTGGGAGGGCGAGGAGGGCAGATCATGATGCCAGGAAATCAAGACCATCCTGGCCAACATAGTGAAACCCCATCTCTACTAAAATACAAAAAAATTAGCCGGGTGTGGTGATGCATGCCTGTAGTTCCAGCTACTCAGGAGGCTGAAGCAGGGAAATCACTTGAACCCAGGAGGGAGAGGTTGCAGTGAGCCGAGATCACACCACTGCGCCCCAGCCTGGGTCACAGAGAAAGACTCCGTCTAAAAGAAAAGAAAAGAAAAAAACAGTATTTAGTACCTTCTCCTTCACTGTTCTCTTCCTGTTCCGGCCATGTGAAGACCATGCTGGCTTCCCCTTCACCTTCCCATGATTGTAAGTTTCCTGAGGCCTCCCCAGCCATGCTTCCTGTATGGCTTACAGAACTGTGAGTCGATTAAACCTCTTATCTTTATAAATTACCCAGTCTCAGGTAGTTCTTTACAGCAGTGCAAGAATTGACTAATACACTGACACACCCACAGCACTATACTACTACTGCAGTACACACATATTTTATGAGCGCACATGCTGCTGTTACTACAGTTGGCCATATGCTGTGCCATGAAACAAGCCTCGCTCAATTTCAAAACAAAAATGGATAATAAATATACAGCTGAAATTCCTCAAATGTTTGTAAATTATGCAAAACACTTCTAAATAAACCATGAGTCAATGAAGAAATCACAATAGCTACTATCAAATACTTTAAACTAAAGAAAGAAAATATAAAACTTGTAACATGGAGCTATATCTATGCTTAGAATAAAAATAATAGTCACACGTTTTAGAAACTATGGCAAGATGATAATTTTTTAAAATCTTAGTAGTCATCACAAGGAATTATCATTTTTTAAAGAACAGAACAGCAAGTAAATTTAAAGAAAACAGCAATAAGAATAAAATAAAAATAAGAGCAGAAACAACAAAGCCAAAAGTTGATTCTTTTAAGTCTAATAAAATTGTCCTCTGGCCTCAATCTACCCTGCATAATTTGAATTAATTAGTGGAAGGTATGGGAAGGAATCAAAACAAAAAAAAAAAAGAGATTTCCAAAGCTAAAGCAAAATGCTATTTTTTTCAACAGATATATCTTCTTGATTAGATACTGTTTGACTCCAACTATAATTTTTGTTACTTTTTAGGTTAAATCTACCAGGCCTTAAGGGGCCTAGCTGAGTCTAGTATTTAATTTGAAATATCTATAAGAAAATACATGCTTCTTTATGGTATACCTTTAATTTTTGAGCTTTGTTCACTCTGTGTGCTCAGACTTCCAACACTGGTGACTGCTGCTGAGGGCCAAAGAGGAGGCGTGCAGTCCCGCTGGATCTGAGTGCCCACTGAGCATGAAGGTGGATGGTAAAATGCATGAGTGCCTCTTGTTACAAGAAAGTGTGAGAAATGAGGATGGGAGAGACAAAGCCACAGCACAAGCACTTACTGATTAACTAAAATTTGAAGCTGTGAATTGCAGCTTCCCCTTTAGTGAAAGATGATACAAATGGCTTAGTTGCCTTCACACTAGCAGAGACTTTTTAAATGGATGGATGCTGATTTTTTTATAGAGCCCATTTCTAAGTCATCTTTTAAACCAGGGGTCCTTAACCCCTTGGCCATGGACCAGTAGTGGCCTGTGGCCTGTTAGGAACTAGGCAGCCCAGTATGAGGTGAGCGGCCAAGAATTACTGCCTGAGCTCCACCTCCTGTCAGATCAGTGGTGGCATTAGATTCTCATAGAAGTGCAAACCCTATTGTGAACCGTGCATATAAGGGATCTGGGTTGCGTGCTCCCTATGAGAATCTAATGCCTGATGATCTGAGTGGAACAGTTTCATCTCAAAACCATTCACCTGTACCCTCCATTCATTGAAAAATTGTCTTCCACAAAGCCAGTCCCAGATGCCAAAATGGTTGGGAACACTGTTTTAAAGGAATCAATCTCTTTGCTATTATTATTATTATTGTTAAGATGGAGTCTTGCTCTTTCACCCAGGTTGGGGTGCAGTGGCACCATCTTGGCTCACTGTAACCTGTGCCTCCTGGGTTCAAGAGATTCTCCGGCCTCAGCCATCTGAGTAGCTGGGACCACAGGCACATGCCACCATGCTCTACTAATTTTTTGTATTTTTAGTAGGAACGGGGTTTCACCATTTTGGCCCGACTGATCTCAAACTCCTGACCTCAAGTGATTCACCCACCCCAGCCTCCCAAAGTGCTGGAATTACAGGCATGAGCCACCACACCCGGCTCCCTTGGCTACTATTGAAGTATTCTTTTTCTTTTGTGATCACATCTATGAAGTATATTGGAGAGAAAGAGGAAGTAGAATGAGAATTTTGACATGGTACAGTGGTTTATACCTGTAATCCCAGCACTTTGGGAGGCTGAGCTGGGCAGATCACCTGAGGTCAGGAGTTCGAAACCAGCCTGGCCAACATGGGAAATCCAATCTCTACTAAAAATATGAAAATTAGCTGGACGTGGTGGCAGATGTCTGTAATCCTATCTACACAGGAGGCTGAGCCGGGGAGAATTGCTTGAACCTGTGAGGCAGAGGTTGCAGTGAGTCGAGATCGTGCCACTGCACTCCAGCATAGGTGACAGAGCCAGACTTTGTCTCAAAAAAAAAAAAAGAATGGTATTTTCTCCATTGACTTGGATGCTGCTGTGGTCTTGATCCCCAGATCAATGCAATGCTCCTGAATCGCCTCCATTTGCCAGGCCTATCAACCTAACTGATAAGTCCGAGTTTCCCGTTGGGACGTATTTGAGATATGAATGCCGCCCTGGTTATTACGGAAGACCATTTTCTATTGTCTGCCTAAAAAACTCAGTCTGGACAAGTGCTACGGACAGCTGCACACGTAAGTAACTCTGGAGTGGGAACCCCCTCTGTTAGTCACACATCTGTAAGATTCGATTCAGTTTGTTCAAATTTTGTAACTGAGTTACATATGACAATTAGTTTACCAAGGTGCAATACATATGAAAATTATTCTTGTAGATCATACCTTGTTAAATGGCTTTGAGTTCCTGGTGCCTTCATTATAGGTTTATTTCATGAGAAACAGTCATCACAGGACACGATTGAGGGAAAATCCCATCCACTGGGGGTCTCCCATTTTCATGACTAAAATTAAGTAATGAATGACTGGGATAAGAAAGATAAGTAGATTAAATAACCAAAAGACAAGACAACCTTGGGCTTTGAGATCTTTGGATTATGCCAATTGAAGTGAATTACAGATAATAACAGTTTATTTTTCTGGGAGGCATAATATCAGGATGAAACAGATCTGAACAGGAAGTTTTTTGAAAGGGAGCTGATCCTGAAGCAGTCTGGTGAGTTTCCTCAACGTGGCAAAGTCTATGCAACTATCAGAACTGCATGTATTCTTCAGTAAGCTATAGGCAGGTTGAGACCTTATATACTAAAACAAATGTTTCAGTTTACTCTACTTGGCTCCAAAATTCTGTTTCTTCCTGTAGGTAGATCATGTCGTAATCCTTCAGAACCTGTGAATGGCATGGTGCATGTGATCAAAGACATTAAATTTGGATCCCAAATTAATTATTCTTGTAATAAAGGGTGAGTTGGCAGCAATGTCTCTTGGTTCAAGAGTTCTACCACAGCCATACTGCCTTCTAGTCATATCTCAGAAAGGACAACTAAGCTATTAACATCTTCTTTTCAAAGGTTTGAACACAGGTGTTTAGCTCCTAACTGAAATGAACAAATGTATGACAAGATCGGGGGAAAATCATCCGTATCCTTGCTGAAAACCAAGGCAGTGCATATATGAAAAGTGTGGCATTCATTGGGTGGGAAGGAAGAAAATGGGGGAAGATTACAGTCAAAGCACACAAACAGCCCTAACCCAGGGCTGGAAGAAAGGGCAGGCCATTGAGCAGCTGCGTGAGAGAAATCTTTTCTTTTTTTTTTTTTTTGAAACGGAGTTTCGCTGTTGTTGCCCAGGCTGGAGTGCAAT